GGTCTATAGTATATGGATAAGGCTGGGTACCTTATCCTGACAACACTATGGATACGACCCACTCTGTAAAGGTTACAGACGACTCGATCCAGGTCGTTCGTGTGGAGACATGCGAGTTGGGGTATCCTATACAATGAGTTTATATAAGACCAGACCACGAAATAGTCAATCTTTAGATGTAACACCATTAACTAATAGATTGCTGTTTCTTAGAATGACCAGACAACTCATTCTCAATCCTGAGTGAGTTATGGACTCCTGCCCGTGAGAGCTCGTCCTTTGATCTGTATGCGTGAGAGTGGCCCGAGTTGCCGACTCAATATTCCTACCATTTTGGGGACGAGACCGAGTGGGGAGCTGGGAACATAACTTCACAAGATGGAATTCAATCCTCCCCGACTTTAGGGGGGTAGATGAGTGTTCTCTTAAATGCTGACTCCGGGACTTGAACGATGGGCCCCACCCTCTCATTGGCCCGAGAGAGACTTCCGGTTATTGGTCGGACCATAACCGGGTTGTTGATTAGAGGAGCAGTGGTATTTAAGGAGTAAGATGTAACTCAGGGGTAAAACGGTAATTTGACCCAACTTGAGTTACAAGCACTCATGAAGGATTGACTTGTCATTAATGGTCGTATATCCGTGGACACGAAAACGTTCTGCAGTGAGAATAGTGCAACTGCGGGTCTTTAGTGGAATGACCCGTAGTTAACGAATGTTGATTAACTTGGTAAATGAGTTTAACCGATTAATCTCGTATCGTTGGAGCTTCGGATTTGTAGGTCCATTAGGTCCCCTTGCTAGCTCATAACGGGTAAAACGAGGATCAAGTTTTGGAAGAATTTGAATTGTTCAAATTACTTAAGGGATTATATGTATATTGATACATTATAATATATAGTTAATTATAAATTAAAACTATATATTATGAGAGAAATTATTTGAATGAGATTCAAATAAAATTAATTAATTATTAATTATATAAATTAATTATTAATTATATTAATAATTAATTAACTTTTATTAATTAATATGATTGATTAATTAATTAATTATATATTAATTATTATATATATATTAATATTAATATTTAACTCCCCTGCATTATTGCACAGAAGTGGGGAGTTATGTGACGTGGGGTAACTCCCCACGTCACTGGTTTTTTGTAGAAGTTCTGCAATGGTTACAGAACAGGATGAAAACAGAACTCCCATTCTTCTCTGTGGATTGATCTCTCTCAAACTCTCCCTCTCGTTCCAAGGAAACGCTCCCACAAGCGTGATCTCGAAACCCAAGAGGATAGTAAGGAAGATTCAGTGGTGGTGTTCGTTAGGAAAAAATTGAAGAAACGTTCTTCAAAGGTAATTTTTCCCCTGTGTTTTTTCTTCTTGCACTTTGTGATTTTGTTTCCCAAATGTCACGAACAACGGTCCGCTTCCGCTCCGGGATTGACATCCCTTCAGTTCTTCCCCTCCCTTAAAACGACTCCAGGCGATATAACTACCAAGTAGCATGTTCCAACTGTTTGGGGGTAACTGTGTCGGAGCTACCTGGAGCTCACATAAGAAACGCTGAATAAACGGATGGAGAGGCAATCGCACCCCGTTCTCAAACATTTTTGTATACAGAGTTGTCTCTCCCTCGGGGGGATGTTTCATATGCTCATGAGATTCAGGGACTCTCATAAAGACTGATGCTGGAATACAGTATCGGGAGCGATAATAATCTAAGTCTTCATGCAGAATTCGTAAAGGGATTCCTGGTAATACCAACACAAATTCATGTCCAGATACAGGCACTATATCCATCCCTCTATCAGTAACTATCGGTTCCAGTATCTCTCTTTCTCTAGAAAACCCAATACCGGGAGGCTCATTAATCATCCTATCAAAACCATAAATCCAGTGGCTATTAACATCTCCAAAATTTACATTAGTACATTCAAATGAACCATTCCTCATCAAATCATCAAGAGGTGAAACAAGAAATGGAAACCTCTCCATAAATGGAGAACCGTTGGCAAGCCTAGGTCTCGTAATTCGTACAACAGACTTAGCCGCTCATAATCCCACACATTAGAATCCTCACCACCCAAGCCAAACATGCTGAAAAATAAAAGTCAAAGAGTATTAAGGTTACCTTATAAGGCCTTATTTCAAACTTCAAATTTCTCTTCAGTGTCCTTCACCGGTCCAACAGTTAGCTATCAAAAGAAAAAATTATCTTCTTATATGCACACCCAAAGCACCCCAAAAATAAGGAACCATAATTCGGCAGTTACACCTAAATTCCAAATTAAAGGATAGCTCTACTTCATTCAATCCAAATTATAGGTGGAGGTAGCACAACTATGAAAAGCAGAGGTAAGCGACAAAGATATTAAACAACATCCAAAATTCAACCAGTAGAAAAAAAGTAGTCAGACACTGCACAAAAGGCCAGAGAACGAAATATAGAAGCGGCAACCACCTATGCAGCGCTAAATTAATCGAGCCTGAGCAAACTCATAGGCAAAAAGGTGAAGATATAGCGAAAATAGAGCTAAAACAAAAGTGCAAATACAGCAAGAACAGAACAACAAGGGGGGATAGCGCATTATGAACTAAAAAATAGAACGACTCGAAAGGAAATACTCACAGTATAGTGCGGGACGTGCAGCGCAAAGATAGCGCACCACGAAAAGCCAGATGATGCATGCACAATAGTTTGATTAAAAAAACGGCAGATGGTCGGCGGCGGCAAAAAAGGAAGAGAGGAAGGGGAGTATAGCGCGGGGCACACGACGTAAAAATAGCACAATACAAGAGTCAGACACGCATATGGCTCGGTTAAACGCAAAGAAAAACGCACAAAAAAAGGGGGAGACAGCAAGCGGCCGACAGCGGCAAGAAGGAGAAAAGAAAGGGAAGACCAAAACTTTCACCTCAAGGATTTGAAAAACCATAAAAACTTGAGGTGAGGGGGCTACTGTTGGGACCCACATCAAGAATGCACTATATTTTTGTGCTAAGACTGGACCAAGGGAAGTGTGTAGCACTAAAATGGCTTTGCTAAAATTGGGTCTAGGGAAGAAGGGTGCACCACTAAAATGGTTTTTGTATTAAGTTGGGCGAAGAGAAGAAATGCAGCATGAGTAGCACTAAAATAACGACCCGTATACTGCAATCCATATACCAAACACTTATGCACAATACATTGCGATTCATATGCAATATTACAGCCCACGATCGTTTTAGTGCAGCTGCACACTAAAGTAAGGAAGTTAACGCTATAATACTGCGACGCCTTAGCACGCCCAATGCATAGTACAACCGTGATATATGAGTCTAATAGTCAACTCACCTCCTATAAATATGGAAGAAGAGCAACCATTCAAGGTAAGTGAAGACATCTCCTTATCTATCTTTTTAGTCAAGTTCATCAACTGACTTAAGCATCGGAGTGACCACACCAGTGTTAGCTTTATAATTTCCTTTTAATCACAAGTTTCAAGGAGATTTGGTCCAGACCTAACTTTTATAACCTTTGACAGTCGGTCTGATCGGTTTGACAAAATCCATCTTCTCGACTCGATCGGGCTCCCCAAAAAGTGATTCAACAAAAAGAAAAGAAAAAGAGAGAGAGCTATAACAAATTCAAGTTTTCAGGTAAAAAAATAAAAATAAAAAATTCAAGTTTTGAAAGTTTATATTTGGTTGGTTTTTTTTTTAATATAACATGTCGGGTGGGAGATCGAACTCACAACTTTTTGATTGGAGATATATATCAATTACCACGGACTCACGTTGACATTTGTAAAATAATTTAAAGCATTTAAAATAGTACATATCTTAGAATAAATATGAGTTTGACATGCTTTCTAATTTAGTCATTTTTTAAATAAATTTTTCTTTTCTTTTTCAAACACTCTTAATAAAGCTAGCTTTAATTAAAATATTTGTATATTTGGTTAAAATTTTTTAAACTACGAATGACTGGTTTGTTTGATTATACCATATCAAAAATAATTTTACAAACAATAGATTATCAAAATTTTATTTTAAAATGATTTTACATATGGTAGATTATTATAAAGTTATTTTAAAGTGATTCTCGGTCAATCACTTTAGAATAACTTTTTAGATAATCAAAGTAATGATTAAAAAAATGATTATAAATCAATTTGATTATTTCAAGAGTGATTCCGTTATCAAATACTCTATATTTGAAAAAATAAATTTAAAAAAAAAATCATTTTTTGCCCTCTAATGACTTAGGAAACTAATCCAAAGACACTGCCAGTATTCCATGGAATTTAGAAAATTTTAAAAAAGAATTGTTGATGTGGTTTTATATAAATACTTTATCTTTATATATACAATTATATATATATCTTATTATTAAGGTCAACATGAACTTAACTTCAATTCAAGTGATTAGCGTCTGATTTAAGTTCGAACCTCCTACTTCACCTGTTGTATTATATATATAATTTTCTTGAGATACCTAAAAATCTGATGAAGTGGGAGGATGAGGTGTGCAAAAATTAAAAGGTAACAAAACTCATCTATAATGGAAAATAATATCTCTCATCTCATTCTCAAATGAATTCATCGATGAATTATTATTTTAATGATTAATTTTAACTCAACTTTCATCTTAGTTCTTATATTATCCAAAAATTAAAATTTAATCTATCATCTATTTCTAACTTAACTATCATTCTTAACTTAACTTCTCTATCTCATTTTGTAACTTGTAAGCTAATAATAATTGATTTAAATACTATTTTGGTATTTATATTTTTTTTATCCCTATATTTTCAACTTTTATTCATTTTAGTCATTTTTGTTTTTATTTTCGTACAATGATTAAAATAAATAAAAGTATAAAGTACAAAAACTAAAATTAACTAAAGTCAAAAAGTATGTTTTAGACCCAGAAAAAAAAAACATATTTATCAATAATGAAAAAAAAAAGTTTCCAAGGGTAAAAATAAATAAATGTAAAAAGAGGCTTGTTTTGAAGTATTCCAACTTCTAATCCGTCCTCATTCATTTCCTTCAAAAATAAAGATGGAGTAGAAACATCAACCATTGTATCAATCTCTTCATGAAAGGGAGAAAAAAAAAATACCATTCAAAAGGAAGTCCAAAATCTTAAGAATGAATACTTGTTCCAAACAAAAAACAATGCAAGAACTTGTTTTCACTCAGATTCTACCTTCTAACAGATTTTTATCTTCAACGATTACCGAATTTGAACAGCGCGTTTTCTTCCTTTCTTGGAAGCCCTTCAAGTGGATGAAAAAACGTCAAGAACCTCTTCAAGTGGATGAAAAAACTTCATAGATGTCATGGTCCGAGACAAACATTGGCCAATTACTAGTTTCTTTTTCCCTCGATAGAAACGGAGACATTATCAAGTAGACTCATTCGCTTTTGACAGCGTCATAAATACGTCGAACAAAAACCAAGGAAATGCGAAAACTTATTACTCCAAGCATCAGGAAGAATGCATAACATATACACGCATTGTAGCCTAAAAAGAAGCTAAGCTGCAAGAAACCATTCATATTTGATCTGGCGTAGAAGTAAATGCAATATCCAAACATAAATATGGCCGTTGAGCCCCCAGAGAACACCGATCTGCAAAGTCGAAAAATGCAGAAATTATATCGAAGAAAATGGAGAACATTCAATAAAAAACAAGCATGCACCATTTAAGGATTTGCAAGGACATAGTAGATACCTCCACCACCATTGATGATCTTCAACAGATAGCTGAATGTAAGTCAAACCAACACTCAAGATTGCAGTGAGTATGACAAGGATGATGAATGTGATGAACAGAATGTTAGGAAGAGTGAAAATTTTGAAACCCCACATGCTTGCATACAAGTGATGCAATTCGAGAACGACTGCGCTGAACGACAACAGACCACTGATGAACATTTGACAAGGTAGCTTTCTGAACCAAGCCAAAGGTGGAATCTCTCGCGGGTTACGCTTGGTGGCGCAAGGCGCTTGAAACTCGGATCTAAAACGGTGTCCTATTATGCCACCAAATGCAAGCAATGGGAGGCTGATAAAAGTATATATGATAAGAATCACTATGATGGTGCCAATCGGAAGTGCTGCAGTAGTTCCATTAGATATAGCAACAATATTAAGGATCGAAATTATGACGAATGAGGGCCCCAAATACAGAATCCCTGATAGAATAACACTTTTCTCCTGAAAATGAGGAAGTTCATATCAAAAAAGATGAGGAAATACAACAGACCACGAAGAATTAACACAGAGGCAAAATTTACCCATCCATTCTCTGCAAACTGGCAGTAGAAAGAAGCAGATGTATACCCAGAAACCACAGATGTAAGAGAATAGATCAAAATAATGGAAGTGAATAGTGATCCACGATTGTACGGGTAAAGGATACCCAGAAACGCCAGAAGAAATAAACTGCAAAACCTGTAGAAAAAATTATATACAGAATGAGTGAAACAAAATTTATAGATTTGAAGATAATCACACTAAAGTAATACAAGTATTAGCCTTCACAATAACAATATTTCGGTATTCTAGGACAACTTTTCTTTACGCAATCTGTCATAATTGACTTCTACTTGACTAATGGACCCTTCGCATCAGTTTTCTCCAATCTTGCAGTATCAATGTATCATAGATAAGCTATAATTTCAAAATAATTTCTTATGGTTTAGACACCATAAGGAATAAGAAATTTGAATGTTCGGTTTCACTCTCTCCATATGCCCCAACAAAATACCATGAACAGCGTTGCTCCACAAAACTTTTGCTTTGCCTTTTAGATGCCAACCTTGGAGAGCCTCGAAAAGCCACAAATCAGCAGTTCGAGGCAGAATAATAGTTATATCAAATATCTTAAATAAAGCAGTCCGACACCTATAAGCCATGGGGAAGTGAACGAAAAGGTGATCCCATCGCATAAGTCGGAAGGGAAAAATCACATAAGATAAAATACAGCACATTATAAGACTAGGTAAAGCAAGAAAGAGGAACTATGACTCTAGCAAAGTTGTGGATCACCCAGATTAACAGGTATAGTGTGCAGAACTATAAGAGCATATCACTGTAATTGACAGACTCCTGAAAGATTAGAAAAAACATATTTGAAAATTTTGATCTACAAAACTGAGAAACATGGAGATAGATATAAGATACCAAAATGACCTATACAGTTTTATAAGCTGGTTAGTTATTAGGTTGAGTAGTTTGTTGGATTTGGGTTTGTCAGGGTGTCACAACATTGCCTCGAGCATAAAATGATACTTTAGGTAGGCAGGAGTATTAGATATCAAAATCTATATAGGTCAGTAAGGGATTTGACAGGTATGGCAGTTGTAAATGAGCTAAAAATAGAGGAAGGAAGGGTAGATAGGGGAGAGAGAGAGGAGAATCTTTCTGCGAAGTTTATATTCAAGTTGGCCCAGTGGATGGATTATTCTACTGCTATATCTTTGCTGCACTCTTCTATTTTCTGTAGGCACACTTGTATTCTCATAATAGTATTCAATTTTATGATACTTAAAGCAAAGCACAACCAAAGGCCACCTCTTCAGCTCTATTTTTTTGTAGGTTTTCCAAAAATCAAATTCTTTTTTCATGAAGGGAAAAATAAATAAATTCTGAACTGCCAATTTCTCCTTTCACTCTGCTATTTTCTTGTCAGTTCGATCCCAGTGTCCTACTTCCTACTACGTGATATCCTTAAGATCTCTATTTATCCATTATGTCTCTCTCTCTATCCTTCACTCTGCTACTTTCATGTAACTTCAGATCCCAGTGTCCTACTTCCTACTAGGTGACACCTCTCTCCTCTCTCTCTGTCTCATTCTTTAATACAAAAATTAGATGGCATGCAGGAAAAGTTGAAGCCTATCAATACTTTATGATAAACAAATAGCTTCTAGAAGAAATAGATCAATTTAACTTACATAGTCAGTAGCTGTGTACCAACGCCCAAAACAGCACAAAAGAGGGGCAAATTTGAAGGACATCTAAATACATCTCCATGAAGAGTTTTCCAAACAACCTCTCGTTCATCCTCTTCATCACCACCAGAACACCTAAATGGCAAACAAAATTAGGTTGGCCAATTCACAAAACTACCTTTATTGCGCCAATCAAGTAAATTTATTAACAAGACATTACTTCCTCAAATCATTCTTGAGACGGCGCATAAAAAGCAAAGTAAGCAGTCCCATCAACAGAATGATTATAGCAATTGAATTCAGTAATGAAAACCGGTGGATTTTCTGACTGATAGGCAGTAGAGAAGCCTTCGAATATTTGTTCATCCTATTTCCATACCGCGCTGAAGTTTCATTCCAAAAAATGGAATAAGTGAACTTAACATTGAGTTCAACATCATCCGTTATATCAATTACATGATTTGGGTCACTAAAAGCATTGACTTCGACAATTTGGTTCCCATTGAAGAAAGCATCAAACTGAATATGTGTGAAGAGAAAATATTTTGGACCCTGCTTGTCTAGGGACCAACTCTGTTCATCAATTTTGCCAATGAAACCCCACACTGGAAGATCATCACAATACATTTGGAAGTAAAAATCATTCCTGACAGCTTCCCTGAACAATGAAACTTCAGAACCTTTTAGCTTCTTTTCACACAGAGTCTCCCAATGTTTGTCTTCCCTAAATTTCATCCCATACAAGGCACCAGTCAGGCGGTCACCATTTAAAACCTCCCCCAAGGTTTCCTTCTTTTGGACTACTGGATCTGCAAGCTAGAGAGAAGACCTTCAAACCAATTATTTCATATAGAAAAATTGCACCATAAGTGAACCTACACGTAGACTACCTTTCTACCTCATGAAAAACAACCGAATATTCTTACAGGAAGCCAATACCATTCAACGTTCTCAAGGAGCTAATACAAGAAGTATAAATCATGATGCAACTAGAGCAATTTTAACTATCATATATTTCAAAAGTACCCTTAGCTTGGTGGTTCCGTCACCTCGAGGTTCAAATTATGGAAACTATCTTAAAACCAGAACCTTCATAGATCTATTATTGATTAAAACTTGAAAGGCTTTCAATCAGGCTATCATCCTTTAAAAGGCTAACCTGGACGGCAGAATGGTAATCCATAGTATTGGTAGGTCTCACTGCAAAGAAAACAAGAATCAAAGTAAACAGTAAGATTGGAGTGGAAGCAAGATACACAAAAGAGAGAGAGAACAATAGATGACCATTCTTGCTCCAATAGACTCGTTGCACAAAAAATTCTAGGCCGACTTTCACATTTGCTTCCAAAATTCATGAATATCAGATTCTGCTTAACTTCAATTAATATATAAATTTCAATTTGATACTTTCTCCACATTTCAGTCAATATCAAAGTTCCATTCCGTACGTCATCTAATATTTGGTACTATCTACTTCTAACCTATCCATGGATATGATCTTCGTCAAGAACTCATTGGACACACACAACAATCCCCAACACAGTTTGAATTCCACACTTCACTCCTTCAGAATCATAAGGCTTCTAATTCTTACAAATTAATCAACCAGCAAGAAGCTCCAATTAGTAAACGATAGTGGGGTTTGAACGAACTACCTGGGATTGCTCAGAGGTCCGACTTTATTCACGAAAAATGGAACTGGATCTCCGACATTGTAGCGGTGATTGAGCGGAGAAGCAATAGAGAGACGGCATGAGAGGCAAAGGGTGCCGAAAAGCACCAAAATGGTGATGATTTCAAGAAGGGGTCTGGACATTGATGCAGAAAAAGAAGGTGGCGATCAAGTTTGAGAAATTGGAGAGAGGGAATTGTTGGAGTCGAAGGGTTTGGTGGAAAATGGAGACTCATAACCATGGCGAACTAGCCTTTGACTTCATGATTCTGCTCCATGGACCAGCAGTGATGCGAATTCGGGATCTTCAGCTTGCGTCGCCCCAATTTCGAAATTGCCAAAATTCAAGAAACCCACTGTGATTTGATTGGTAGAAATTGTAAATGGTAACCAACTTACGATGTGAAGATTAAGTTTTTTTTTTTCTCTCTCTCTCTCTCTCAAGACTTTCAATTTTATCCAATTGGATTTTAGACTTAAATTGAGTTGTGGAAGATGGAACTTTGAGATGGGAAGTAACAAGTATTATATTGAGGTTTTATTTTTTTTAGAATTGAAGTATTTTATTGAGTTGAGCTATGTTTAATTGTGAGTTTTTTTATTATATTTATCAATTAATATGAATGGAAATTAAAATCAAGAGTATAATTGAGCAGTAATTGACGTATATATATCTTCAGTTCAATCTCTCACTCCCACATGTTGTACTAAAAACCAAATTGTAATCATAAAAAATCATATCCATCTCAACAAATTAATCTACAAAGCAAACCATATAATAAATATTCAAAAACTTATTTAACGTTGGTTTGCACGTACATCTACACCACCAGTATGGTGCTAAACCCAACTAACAAAAAAATAAGGTGGTAAAATGTACCTCATATATGTCTCTCCCCTTATTTACCGGGAAGTCTCATTGAATTGGTTTAGGTGGACCAACTCGACTAACTCCAATCGACTCACCTAGTCGAGTCGAGTATGGGTTGGTCGAGTGATCCAATCTTAGTCGGCTCGGATCTGGTTTATTATAGTAGGATGGTCCAATCCGAACGGCTCAATCTACATTTCTTTTTTGACCTCATTTCAGATGAATGTAATATAGTAATTTCACTCATAACATCAAAATTAATAATAATAAAAATAACAATAACAACAAAAACAGTAATAATAATAATAATCTCTACAATTTATTTTTTCTAAAAGCTTTATAAATTGGGTAGAAAGCTCAATTTCGAATCTCAATTTTCAAGATAATAAATATGTGTCTACTATTGAGATATTGAGATATCCATATATGATTAGATTTATGGATTAATATATAGATTACATAATTCTCAAAATAGATGGTACCCATAATAGACCTAATTACATAAAATGATTCAAAGTACTAGAATTTACACTATTATCTAACATAATTCCCAAAATAGATGGTACCCATAATAGAAATTACTAATATATCCATCTCAATATTAAATCATTAATAAAATATGAAATTGGTAAATATTTATTAAGATATATGAAATCCCTAAAATCAAGCAAATTCAAAATTCAATAATTGGGATTTTTAGAAACCTAGGATTTCGTAACCTCTTCATCTCCGTTGTTTTCTCCTTCTTCACCACTACGACAAAAACCTTTTCTCCATCATCAAGCTTCCGGTCGCGTTTCTGAAGAGATATCTCTGGCGGGTGCTTCTCCGTTTTCTGCAGAAAATATCTCCGGCGGCCTCCGTCGCATTTTAGAGGGCAACATCGTCACGCTTCCTTCGTCTCCGACGGCTACGTCGACCCATTACACTGTAATGGGTCCACTTCTACTGTATTTTATGCTATATTTAGGTTTTAATTTTGCACAGAACATTGGAGATATAGTTCTTATTGTATATTCTAAAATTAGGTTTCATTTTTTTGACAGAATCTGTTGCTCTCTGGTTTCTGATATCTCAATGTATCTGCTATTATCGTTTATAACAGTATATATTTGAGTTTATATAATATAGTGATACATATTATGATATATAATATCTACATAAAAGTATCTCCATATATACCGGTGAAACAATTTCCATGGAAAATCTAATAGGATATATAATATATCTCTAGTTTACAGAGGACTTTCGGTATTAAATTGGTATATACGAGTATATTTTTCTTTATTCGTTTGTTCTGAGTAACGTATGTATGGTGATATATAGTGCTTAGATAAGGATATATACTATATCTCAAGATTTATGTATCTAAATTATATACTACTTAATAGGCGTTTATACATAATTGATAGTAGATTTCAATAGTACAAGTATATTATATACTCATCTATGTACTAATCCCTATCTTATAATAACAAAACAACATGAACATAATTTATATCCATAAATATGAATAGATAAAATGTAATTTAAAACAAGATAGTAATAGGAATTGCAGAAATAATGTGACATTGGAAAAAACTGTGATATTAACCTGTAATCATAAGAAATAATAAAAATATGTAATTGCTGGAGGCATGAATGACGGTGGAAAAACCAGAAT